TCCTATATAGAAGCTACCATAAAATATGTCTACTCCTGCTTTAATTAAGACACGAACCGATGTTGAATTCTTTCTCCTCAACTGATTGCTGGTAAAAGCTAGAGAGCCCAATCTGTTTTTCTCTATTTAATCCATAACACGGAGTGGAAGACAAAAGATTCCTACCTCTTCGAAGACTATCTGTGAGTATAATAAAACTTGGTTATCGGATTTTTTCCGAGCCGCTAACCGTTACACTACCGGCAATCTAGTTTGCTAATGGGTTTATATTACGAGTTGTATTAAATGGATCGGAATGAGAACTCGGAGATCTGAGTTCGAATACTAGTCGGGTTCGTTACATTCACTTACGCACAAATACCCTTGGGAAAGGTATGAATCAATTAATATATATATATATATATATATATATATATATATATATATATATATATATATAGCAACCAAACACAATAAAAATAAAAGCAAAAATCAATAAAACAAACACCAAGAGACAAACCAATAAAAAAGGAAAGATAAACAGAATGAAAGAAAAAGAGACACCTACCTAAATAGTAAAAGGCAGTGGTCTATTTCTAAATGAGGAAGACAGAGTAATGACTCAAAGTAGCGACACTACTTAAAAAGGAACAACGTTCAGACCGCTACTCAAGTTTCATGCTACCGCGATCCCCAGGCAATCAGAACGTATATATATATATATATATATATATATATATATATATATATATATATATATATATATATATATAACACTGGTCCGTATCCTGTTGAAGAGCCCATCTATTTCTCTAATGAGATTTCTCGAATATTTAGGCCGGTAGACGAAATTAAATAAATATAATGTTCAATAAATAAACGGAGCGTCTACTCAAATATGGTTATCCACTAAACATAACGTTTAAGTAAGATATAATGTCTGAGAAAGAGAGAGAGACATAAGTTTAGGTCATGCAATTGTTGATTCACAAATTCAAATTAGATTTGGAGATAGAAATAATATACCTGCGAGTATCAAAAATTTTACAAGCACATGAACCGCTTGCTAGGTAAAGCAAGAAAATCTGTTCCGGGCTTACCAGCTAGGGCCCAGCTCTGAAAGTATATTCATCCATGGATTTACACAGGGGCCGACAACATGTGTTCTGCAAATTACTTTCAGCAAGATGGTTGGACAAAAGTACAACAAGCTGTGTCATCCCTTTCATCGACATCGGAAATCGATTGGCAGCCATAAGTGAATTATCACACGACATAGACGCCAACAACAGTGCAAACATCATTTACATTTGATGTCCTCTTGCTTTCTCTGCCTTGATTTATTGATTTTGCAATCGATTATATCAAATCTTCGGCTTTTGGTTTCCTATCGGTTTCACACCTAACGTAAGATCTGCTACTGAATTCTGAATTAATATTTTATTGATTTTTAGATTCGTTCTGCAGCAAAGAAGATTGATCTCTTATGCCTATCAGATAATTTGAGATATCAGGCTCTTCTCTGGATATGATATCATAAACAATATTTCATGAGGGGATATCAGCTTTATTCTGTCTTTCTTTCATTAAATAAAATTGGTACAAGGATATAAATCGAGCTTCTGGAATAATTTTAAAATAGATGCGAATTCGAACTGACGACCATGAAACTGGTGTGTTTAAATCAGCATATTCCTCAAAATGTATACACACTTGGCCTTTTATTTGATATACTGATTTTTATTATAATCAATAGGAAATACTTGTATAAAATCTACAGAGGTTCTCTACATTTAGCAGCATGTATCTATTTATCCCCCTCCTCTCTCTCACACATACAGATGCATTATATATATATATATATATATATATATATATAGCTGACCACTTGGATTCGTGGATACCCGACTACTAGGGCGGTTAGCCAATCCCTATTGCGGACGCCCGCTCAGGCACATTTGTGTTTGCTCAACACACGCAGAGCCCACCTGTGGTATATACTGCAACTATGCCGAGCAGATCTTAGCTACAGTTTCTGGGAGAGGGTGTGTTATCTAGCGTAATCACCAATTTGGACAAGGCCAGCACGTTCAAGCCCTCGGTCACGATGACTTGTGACATCGTGCTATAGCACAGCTATAGAAGGCCTCTAAGGGTTCCGTCTACACAATTTCACTACAAGGCTTGAGTCAACTCGTTGTATGGTTTTCAAGCACTTTTTAAAGGTGCTGCACGCTGGGATCGACCTCGAGCCACTCTGATAACATCAGGAAGTCTCCGTCCTGACAAATCGACCAGGGTGAGATTCGAACCCTGGTCTCATGGTCAGAAAGCGTACGTTCTAATCGCTCGGGCACGCGCCGATGAAAAAAATCGAGCGATAAAAAGAGCTACAAAAATAATATTGATGATAAGACTAATAATATTTGCTGTATATTAGTTAGCCTTTTATCGAATGGATGCATGATGAGAAAGATGTTAAAAATCGGAATTTGCGGACACGCCTCTGTCTTTTCTCAAGGAGACGAGAAATAAAAGTTGGGCTTTTTTCCGAGAGAATTTCTTTTCCGCCTGTGTTGTATTAGTTAAGAGATCTAATAATTTTGAGCTAGCTGTTTGCCATAATTCGGGTTGTAGAGGGATTTTAGAAGACTTTGGAGGAAAACCGTAGTCTTTTGAATATGTGTAATTTCCTGTTTAAACCAAGAATGTGTGAATTTATTTTTAAAATGTATTTTAACTCAAATTTTCGCCGTTCTTAGACACATCTAACGCTATCAATGCCATGGTCTGGTTGGTTGGTTGATTTTATATATATATATATATATATATACTACAGTTCGAAAGTTTGAGGCGACCCTAGTAATTTTTTAATTGTCCGAAAAAGTAGTTCTTTTGTACTTTAAATAAGAGAAAATTATTATATATGGATAAAAAAAGTGAGACATGATTTTTTTATTAGAAACTTTATGAAAAAAAGAACATATGATGCTTAAATTTTGCTCCCGTCAAAATATCCTCATTTAGCCTTGATTACTGCAGCACAAATATTTGGCATTCATTACAATATTTTTCAAAGTGTACGTTTGGCAATTGATTCCATTCTTTTTTTTTACATGACTCTAAGAGCTGTATTTACATTAGTCGGACATTAGTCGGACATTAGTCCTCATCTTTGTCGCCATATTTGTCACAACGTTTCGGCCGTTATACTCTCCGGCCTTCTTCAGGTGGTTGGAATTTCGAACTGAACCCTTTATTTCGATCACTGGGGTAGACTGTTCTAGTTCCACGTGCCATGTTTGATGGATGGCAGTTATCAGTTATCTCCTGCTAATTTTCCCTCTGAAAGTTCTCCACTGCCTTAACCAGGTATTGAACTCACCTTCTTTGGGTCTGTCACTGGATCTAACCAACGCCTTTATCCACTGTGCCATGTGTCCTTGAAGACGAAACGTTGTGACAAATATGGCGACAAAGATGAGGACAATAGTCCGACTAATGTAAATACTGTACATAATACCTCATCTCAGAAATATAGACACACTCTAAGAGCTCTTTTTCATTTTTTTCGCTCCATGCTAATTCTGGGATTGGCTTCAAACTTTTGAACTGTTGTGTATATATACATGAATTGGGATCTAATATAGATCAAATATGTATAGGAATCCTACAGAATGATGTATATATATATATATATATATATATATATATATATATATATATATATATATATATATATATTAAAACAGCATAATCCCATATTAGGATTTTTTTTTTTTTTTCAGTATATATTTTCTTCATATATATATATATATATATATATATATATATATATATATATATATATATATATATTGTTTATTTACAGAATATATATATATTCCTATAGATAAACAATATATATATATATATATATATATATATATATATATATATATATATGAAAAAAATATGCTGAAAAACAAACAAAAATTCTAATATGCGATTATGCTGTTTTAATGTTTAATGTCGACGTCGCACGTTTCGGTCTAATAGACCATCTTCAGGACATATTCATAAAACATATGAATATAACGCATCAGTATTATTTGGGGAAAAACGAAATGTAAGTTAATAATACAAATAATTATAGATATTAAAAAATAACATTAGCCCTTTAGTATTAGTGGATTATTTTCTGTATAAAACGTACCTAACTGGTGTGAAATGTGTCTTCTTATCTTCAAGTTGGACGTGCGAATTTGTTTTAACTTATTAAAAGGTGGTAGAATGTGCGACCTACAGACAGAGAAAAGTAAATTCCTCTTACGTCTTACCTTTATAGAAAATTCTCTTAACTTTATAGTTTTTGTATCTTTACGGAAACAGTTTTTTGTGTGTTTTTTTGTTTTTTTGTTTTTTTTACGATCATCGAAGTTAAGTTACGTCGAGACTGGTCAGTACCTAGATGGGTGACTGCTTGCAAATACCAGGAGCTGTAAGCAGGGCCGATGCGTCTTACCCCTGAAACCCCCGACCATTGTGACCTCTGCCATTTTTTCAGCACTGTTTTATAGCCATCGGCCAAATTCTTATTTATTTTTAAACTGATGTTACATTGTCAGTCATCAACTAATAATATACATCATGTATCTGCATGGTGATTAATAATTAGCGAAACATTTTTTCGAGTAAAATGAAAATATTGGTGGTTATTAAAAAGGAATAACTCCGGAATTTTCTCTGAATTTTAAAATAAAAAAAAAACCCTATTCATTATAAACATAAATGATTAATGAATATGGGCTGAAATTTTCATTTAAATTCGATAATTCCCTGATTTTTGCTAATTTAAAAAAAGCGATACTCGCCACCCCAGTTTTCCCTCGAGCGTTTGTGGCTCACAGGTTGGAAAATTTTGAAATCGACATATATTAGGGAGGGGTCTCCGTGTCAATAATTTTTTAAGGTGTGTTGGGGGGAGATTCTATCGCCGGCCCTGTCTGTAAGCTTAAACGTTCGGACGGTGAAATGGATAATGCCCATATCACGTTGAAATACCAGTTCTCGTACGATCACCGAAGTTAAGCAACGACGAGCCTGAGCAGTAGATAGGTGGGTGACCGCTTGGGAATACCACATGCTATTAACTTGAATGTTCACGTAATGTAATGCACAATGGCTAGGAACTTGGAGAGCCGAGTTCCAAATCTTGTTGGATTCGTTATATTCATTAACGCGCAAATACCCTTGGCTCTTACCCTCTTATCCCCAGCTATGGGTTAATTAATAAGACTTGTATCACTAAATCTTTATTATCTTAAAAGAAATTCTTACAATATAAAATATTTTCTGTCTTTAAATAACCTGCAAAGAGCTGATAAGCCGTAAAAAATGAATGAATGGATCAGCAATTTTCTTTCCTTAGTTTCTTGTTGATAAGTGGGGATACAATGATCTAATCCAATTTCAACTCCTTATTCATTTGGTGTAGAGAATTTTACCGGATCAGAATGACGTCATCGCATTTCTCAAGGTGACCTACGCAACAAAAAAAGAGAGAAGCGGGCATTTTTGACTGGCGGAGAAAAAAACAGAGAGATAGAGAGACATAGATAAACAGTGAGAGAAAAAGTGATGCCGTTGGTTTTATTTCATTATTTAATTTTATTCAGTTAACCATGTTTCAGAAATATGAACGCACGAGCCGACCGTTTATGAAAGTCGGTATCTGATATAAAAGGAGACAGAAAAAAAAATCAAAGAAAGATAAAGTCAAAAAGAAAAAAAAAACATGAGAAAACGAAAGAAAGCCCTGAAATGTGTGTGTTGGGAGGGATTGACAAGCTTCAACGTTTTCGCGTTCAGAACGAAGTAGCCGCAATTTCGACTGCCTTTGCCTAAAGCGAGAGTCCAAGAGTTGGGGAAGAGAGCAGAAAATATGATACAATTAATGAAGAATTATACATTTTTCTGGGCGTCATAAAATTAGAAATTAGAGTATTAGGCAGGAGATCGACTATTTTACAGCTTAATCTATAGCATAAAAAACTGCTTGCTTTTACCATAACTACTTCTTTTTGAGATGAGAACGATCATAGCTTCTCACAACTTCCTATCCTTTGTAACTCTAAACAATATCCCCCTTTACTATCCCTCCCAGTCACTGTTCTGCCATTACACAAACTGTTAGGTATATTACTCGCTGCTTCCTTTCTTGCCTTCAGAATTTCCTGTGAGTGTCAAATTCTCCAAGCACTCCTTTTTCATTATGTATTCCTAACATTTTTTTTAAACTTCATCATTGCTTACATGCCCACCCATGATATTCTTAGCATTCTTCTATTTGCATCAAGTTTCTTCATCTGCGAGGAAATTGTCCAGTCTTCGCTATTACATAGGACAACTGATATTAAATGGAAATTCGGCACCATTTTCTTTGTCTCTAATATTTTTTTCTGTTGTTAGTTCTTTGTTTAGCTTTTGGAAATCATCACGTTTTTTTATTGAATAAAAGACGTATTCTGCTTGATTTAAATAACTAAATCAACAGAGTTCTTTTTTAAACAGTAATTCTAAATTTTAGTTCATTTCAAAGGCATGAATATCTGAGACATACGCAGTTAGCAGTGCTTTAATATCTATTCTCTTTTACACTTTCATACAGTGAACAAAATAAAGTACATCATTTGTTAAATTTCATGATAGGCTTATTTTATTTATTATAGTCAACGGGATATTCATTAATTTGAAGCTCGTCTACTGAATTGAAAGCATGAATCTTAACTAAAGAAATTACAGGGAGCACGTTACTTCCTTCGATATTTGGTACGGTATTGAACAAAATTACCAACAGTGCAAAATGTTCAGTTTCCTTCTCTCCGATACTAAACTTTTATAATTGATTCATAATCTGATGTATTTGAAGTATCTAGAATTTATAAATTCTACATTCCGAAATCTTATGATGAATTCAGAGTTGGTGTCGACATTATTTTCATTTGATTCCAGAAGGAAATTAAAAGAATTTATGACAGTACTGTTTAAAATTGGTTTAAGCATTTTAAGGGTGACGACTTCTCCCTTGAAATAAAGCCCAGGATTTGACCTTCAATTATCGATTATGATGTTTTGATGTGGACCCGCTTATCAACATTCGAAAACTTTCAAGAGCTAAGATCACTGAAAGATACTATATTTAAAAAAAAACGTTAGCTTCATAAACACAGATGAGATATCGAGTGGCTCCCCATGAACTCTTCATGAAAATCCATAGTGACAGGCACAGAGAAGTGAAGCTACTTACGAAACCAATGTCTAGATCGTAAAGTGGAAAAAAAAAGATTCGAAGACATTTTATGATTAGTGTTGGATAGAATTTCGATCAAATCGTTCACTTTGAAAGACTGCCGGGTGGCCGAACCAACAACCCAGTCTTCTAGTGTGGGTAGTGAACCGAAATTATGCTTCTCTGAAGGAAAAATACTCCCCTTTGGTGAAAAGAGGAAGATCACTCTTTCAATATGCCAATGATCTCTGATCTAATAATTCTAGAAAAATTCAACAAAAACTCTAAAGAATCAAAGTTTGTTCGTCCTACCATAAATCATGCGCCTTCGAATTATTACATGTTTCTGTCCATAGTATCATTTTTAAAATTTGTGCCTGTCACTTCTCCCAAAATATTTGTAAATGCATTAGAATGGCGAAAGATGCCTTCCAAAAATTAAACAAAGTATTAAAGAATGAGAAAAGAGTAGTTAATTGCTATGTAATATTAATCCTCCTCTTTGCGTCCGTGTATGCCTGTCCCGCATTGAAATCATCAGTCCCAAACGTGTCTGCAAGCGACGTGTACAGACTCCCTCTTGATCTTCGTTTTACGAAGCCAAGCCATGATGATGATGGTTAGTCCTCCTATATGTCAGTAAATGTTGGACGATTTCCTCGCAGATGAAGAGGAAATTTGAGACGAGAAGCAAGCTGAGAATACCATGGACGAAACATGTGAGCAACGTGGACGTTTCAAGGAAGTCCACCTGTTTAAATCCCAGCTATGGGCAAATAGTCAAGCAAAAACAAAATACTATGAAAGTATAAAAATACATATTCATAGGAAAAATACCAATACATATTTATATGAAAAATACCAACAATACATAGTTATAGTAAATTTACCTACAATACAATTTTAAAGCAAACTGACCAACAATAATACATTTTATAGTAGAATTACAACCAATACATTTTATCTTTAGTTGAAGGCATAAAATTGCTTCCAAAATATATTTATTTGAAGCCATAAAATTGTGTTCAAAATATTTTAATTAAATTATAAGGGTAAAAGTAATTTTTAGATAAAGAATATTTAGCACATTTTCCAAATTCTACAAAGGACAAAGACAGATAGAGGACGATTTGTAACCCTCTGATTTCTTTCCTTGAGTTGGGAGTAAAACATTTGCTTTGGTAGCCGGTTGTCATCCATTCGCACCCGATGTCCACGCCATCGATGTTGATGTCTTATGACGTGGACTTCAATAGAGGCGATTTCCGCTTGTTCCAGGACGCTGACGCTGTTTCTTTTGTCTTCCTAACTGATATTCAAGATACGACGAACACAACAGGGATTAATCTTTTCACGGAATTTCAGATGTCGTCTTCGTCTTCTTGTCCCTTGTAGCTCTTAATAAACTTTGTCTTTTCTGTTATTTCTTCTAAACCCTGTTACGCCATCCATTCACTCAAGCTCATTAAGTATGTTATGCGTTGTTTTCCTCTGTCCCTTTATCTGTCCCGTGTGTATCAGATTTTCCAAGCCCTCCATCCTCATTATATACCCCAGAAACCTCAACTGACTCTACTTGATGTTAAGTATTAGTTTGCTTTTTGTTTCCATTTTCTTCAAATCTTCGCCGTTACTCACATATCTGTTGCTTCGTCTCCTCATCATCTTTGAGGAGATCGTCCAGCACTCACTGCCATATAGAATGACAGATATTACATAGCAGTACATTTCTTGTTTCTAGCGAAATTTTCCTATTTTTTTAGTACTTGGCTATCTAAACACACCTTCGGATCTCAGTGCCGTTCTTTCTACTCTCTTAATAGAGAGAGATATACCAGATATTTAAATTTTCGCACATGTTTGATTTTGGTACTTCCGATTTGCAATTCGCACGATACACAGGCAATTTTTTGAAGAGGTTAAAAATCGTGGATTTTCGGTGGCCGGTTGCACTATATGGAGGTAATTTTGTTTTTCTGGAGGAGTGAAAATGCAGCGGTCGCCCTATATATGAAGTCGGCCTATACACGAGTATATACGGTAAATATCTTAACCAACGTGCAGACAACATGACTGTTTTAATATGCAGCTGGAATATGTTTTACAAAGTGCATATTTTGGTTGAAAAGAAGGCCCTTTTTTGGATGTAAGCAACCTATGAAAATGATTGGGAATTAAGAGTGAAATAACCGGATCTCTTTACCTGTCTGCCTGGCAGCCATGATGATAAAGAAGTAAGAAGGATATGAAAATACATAAACGTGATAAGAAAGAAGGGAGAGTAAACCAAAAAAATGAATAAATAGATAAATGCGAATGTTGGTGCAAGTTGGGGTTTGGGCAAGTCAGGAAAGAAAAAAAAAGAAAAGGATTAAAAAAATAAAAATCTTAGCGAAAGCGAGATACATGAAATGAAAATTACCAAAGAATAATCAAATGTAAAATCAGACGGTAATATATTGTGAATATTTTCTTAACAGCAGAGAATTGAAACGCGATGATATTTTACCGCCATCAAATAACTGGAGTAAAAACTTCCCATGATTTTTTTCCAAAATAAATAAAATAATATAAAAATATAAAATGCTAAATTTCGCACCTCTAACCTATTCCGTCTGACCGTGTTTGATCTTAATGTACGAGCGATGGTTAAAAAGTGATTTCTCTTTTAAAAGTATTTGTCAGATTTCCTAGTTTTTTTTTCTTTTTCAGTTGTAAATTATAAAGTCCAAGTGAAAAAATTGTGAAGATGCCTTTTCTTTTCCTGTCCATAATCCAATTTCATTTAAATAAAAAAAAGAGAAGAAAAAGGCTGGTTCTGTTTCTGTACATAGAAAGTAAGATATGTGTCAATTTT